GAGAGAGAGAGAGAGAGAGAGAGAGAGAGAGAGAGAGAGAGAGAGAGAGAGAGAGAAAGAGAGTCATGGAGCATGCATCATGTAAGTAGCAAATAACCCTGATTCAGGCTGATTGTAAGTCGGGGCAGCTAGAGGCACGCTACACGACCCTTAGACCTGTAGTGGATCGCGAGAACCATAAACACGCTTTCGCAAAAGCAACAAAACTCTGCAACAATAAAGCCGAGGAATCTAGGATGCGGAGTTCATACGATGCAGCCTAAGCTACATAATGTCATAGCAAAAACAAATGTCTTATATACACATCCTAGCTAACAGCAGGAAATAAAATGTGGAAGGGTACAATTCTAAAGTCCTAGAGACAATTGTCTCGGTGATCAAAGGAAAAGATAGCAATATGTCACAAGATAATGTTGTGTCGCTGAACCACGAAGAGTGGGATGGTCTCTGACTCGGAGAGGGTGAATTCAGCCTAAGAATCGAAACTCCTAAAGGCAGTCACACACGTAGATGGGATTGGTCATTAGGCTCAGGGCGAGGGAATGGTAGTGAAACAAAACCAACGACCCTAATAGATAGACCATCAAGACGGGTAATGCTCGACAAAAAGGTGACATAATGCAAGGTCGGCCATAATAGGGGAACCTGAAATAGGGTGGAGATATGCCTAACTGAAAACATGCAATGACCGATGAGGGTAGTAGGTGAGGGAAATATGCACACAACTCACCGACTAGGGAGGAAGCCAGATCTGGGAGCACGAAAGCCAAGATAACGCTACGGTCCCAATGCCTATACGATACCAAGGGAGAGCCCAACTTAGGGAGAACAAACGAAGTCAGAACCATCATGCGGCACATACAAAGGAATGCATAAGGCAGGGTGGTGACGTGAAGTAATCACGTCCGAAATAGCTAAGTTGATAAAGTAGTTGAAGTCAAGAAGGTGGCTGAAGTTGTCGAGGTGGTCGATGACGTCATTGAAGTAGGAGACAAGTCCATGTCGAAGCAGAGCCGCAAAACGCTGACATCCTAAAAAGTTGATAATGGAGTATATGATAATATACGTCAGTGGTAAAATAAAGGTAAGTGATGAGAGTGTCAGTCGTCGAGACGCTACGGGCGTCGACGAGTGCGCTGTGGACGAGCGGAGACGTGTGTTTATTGTTGAAGAACAACCTCAGAGGGAGCGGGCTCGTCCTCAGCAATCTCCTCAGCCCGAGGAGGAGGAAGGGGGTCAGTCGACTGAGTAGGAACAAATGTCTCAGCACGATGAGCACGATCATATGCATGCACAAACATTCGGGCGATATCCAAGTGCTCAAGGGACTCCCAAGTAGCCTCCTCATCATGATATATCTTCCAACGGAAAGATACTTGATGCATGGAGGGGTATCGTCAGTAACTCGGTGAGATACGATGTCGGAAATAACGAATTCCTCGTGACCGTCCACTATGATAGGTGGAGGGCGCTCGTAAGGGCGTCCGGTAAAGGACTCGAACGGTCTAGGATAAGGACGCAATAGAGAGACGTAATATACATTGTGTACGTGAGTCCGTCGAAGGTAATCGAGTAACTTCTCACAGAATTTAACTTGAACCAGGCTAGCGGCAACATCATCACCGACGGCCTAAAGGATGCGGCATGGACCAAAGAAGCGACGTCTGAACTTACGAAGTGTATTTGTTTCGAGTTGCAAGTGGTGTGCACCGACGAGCACATCGTCACCGACTTTGAATGGATAATTCATTCGTGATCGGTTCGCTCGTACGGCCATGCAAGTCTAGAAATTGGTAACTTGAAGCGGGCTAGCCGCAACATTATAACCGATGGCCTGAAGGATGTGGAATGGACCAAAGAAGCGATGCCTGAACTTACGAAGTGTATTTGTTTTGAGCTGCAAGTGGTGTGCACCGACGAGCACATCGTCACCGACTTTGAATGAATAATTCATTCGTGATCGGTTCGTTCGTGCGGCCATGCAACAACAGAAAAAATTCCCATAATTAAATATTCATTCTATAGTAAAATTACATTATAAATTTTAAATTTTCATTCCATCTTAAAAAATGTTATTCCAATTTTAAAATTTTTCGTCTTACTTGAGAACTTTCTTTCCAAGAATGGGGTATCCCTTCTTATTTGAACTGCATGCTAGAGATGGAATGAAAGTCTGGATGAGTTCATGAAATATTTTAATTGGACTCTCATTCTAAGTAAGGATTTTCAGTCATAAATAGGTTAATCCAATCTAAATTAGAAGATATTTGTTGTAGTAGAATGAAAGTTTAATTAAAATATTTCATAAACTCGTTCAGACTTTCATTCCATCTTGAACAAATAGATGTAGTTGGAAGGGAAAGT